CAGTCCCACTGAAACAGGGACCAATCAGGGAGACAGTCCTAGTGAAATAGTGACCAGGAACCACAGGCCCACTATCCATTATGTCTCAGATGAATAAAACCGAAAAAACTGCAGACACTGTAAATCAGGAACAAAAACAAGTTGCTGGAAAAGCTCAGCAGGTCTGGCAGCATCTGCGAAGGAGAAAACAGAGTTAACGTTTCGGATCCGGTGACCCTTCCTCAGATAAAATCACTTCTGATTGTTGTAAAACCATTGGGACTGCATTCCCTCCAGATAAAACCCCTACCAGGAGCACAGCCCCCTAAATTTGGCCTTTGCTGTTCATCAGCATCTCATCGCATATTGTGAACTTCACTCAACCTTCAGTCTGTTGTGGCAAGTCATAAGTTTCTGCTGAGCCATTACATTAAGGATCAAATAAAAGTGGACATCCCAAGGCTGGCTTTAGAAGGGTGTTGCATAGGTACATTGGGAACTGGACGAGGCCATTTAGTTCCTTAAGCCTCTTCCATCAATCCACGTGATCATGGCTGATCCATGTCCCAGCTTCATGGGCTGGATTTTACTGAGGACACAAGGCTCCCCAACTCCATTCCCACCCTGTGCTCAGGAGCCCACCCACCAAAAAGCCTGACTGTATAGTGGGTCATTTTATCCATGATGGGCTGTGAAATGGCTCGGGGGAGATCTCCTTCCTCATCCGGGGGTGGAGGTCCCATTTTAGAGAGCTGGTGGTCAATCTGATTGGCCAGTGACTCTATCGTCCCAGCAGTGACAAGCTCGATGGCTGGCCATGGATGGAATTGCAGGCACTCCCTGAGAAGGAGGAGAGATGGTAGAGGCCAGACTGAAGCTATTGGCAGGACCTGAGCTGCAGGCCCAAATGGGTGTTTGTGGGATGGTTAGGTTGTGGTGAAGGATGGGGAAGGGCTGTGAATGCCCTTGGAGAAGCATCTCTGACAGGCACAGAGTCCCCAGAGGTCACTGACCCACGCAGTAAAAGCTGCTGGGCTACCCACCTGTGTATGCATCTCTCTGCAGGTGGGGAGACAGGGGTGTGGGGAGATGATTTGGTGAAATAGCATGAACAACGTAATCACAGCATTGTTACAGGGCTGAACGAGGCCATTTGGTCCATCATGCCTGCAAAGATTCTATCCCTGAGTGCCAATCTCCTGCTTTTCCCCATATCCCCGCTCCCATTTCTATTCAAATAATTATCCAATGCCCCTCTTGAATGCCTCAATTGATCCTGGCACCGCCACATTTCCAGGTGGCACATTCCAGGAGGGGTGTGCAAGGCACTTAAGTGGCCATTAACTGGGCCTCGATGAAATCAAAATGGGAGACAGGATTGGGGTGGGTGAGAAGGCATTTTACGAACACTTCTGCCTTCTAACTTGTCACAGGTGGTGAGGGAGTATACATCCACCTTTAGCCTAAGTGCTGTAATTTGATAACACTAATTCATTAATCTCAGTTCAATTGTGATCTAGAATAGCAGTGCCAGCTTGATGGGCTGAATGACCTGCTCTCATTCCTATGTCCTACTCAAGCTAGTGTCAATTGCTGTTTGTGGGGTTGCAAATGTCTCCCAATTACACTCCTGAAATGCCTGTCACTAATTCTCTGGGCTGATCTAGCGATTATGTTTAAAGGCATTAGCTTACCCAGCATTATGAAGATGCATCCAAGAATGGCGATAAGTGCCCCTTTGCTCAGGCTGATGGGAAGACTGTAGGCCTCGACGCTACAGGATCGAACATTACCATCGGGATCACAGCCACACACTCGGATCGTCAGGGTGCTGGTGCTGCTTTGCACAGGGAGATCAGAGTCCGCAATGAGAATAGGCAGGTAATAGGTGCCCTGCTCCTGGTGCTTGAACCCAGCTCTTCTGGTCAGAATCCAGGCAGTATTGTCTAAAAGGATAAAACACAACATAGAACAGGCTTCCATTTGATTTACAAAATGCAGTGTTTGCAAAGTATCTCTTCATTCATTCATTCACGGGATGTGGGTGCTGTGTACAAGGTCAGTATTTAATAACCATCCCTGTACAATTAACTGATTTGCTCAGGGGATGGTTATGAGTCAATCGTCGACTAAAAGCAATATACTGCAGACAATGGAGATCTGAAATAAAGATTTATGTTTGAGAAGCATTTATCGCCCATTCCTCATAGTCCCACAGATGGTGGTGCTGAGCTGCCTTCTTGATTCACCGCAATACTTGGTGTTTAGCAACACACACGATGCCCTTAGGGAGGCAATTCCAGGATTTTGTAACCCAGCGACACTGAAGGAATGGTGATATATTTTCAAGTCAGGATGGTGAGTGGTTTGGAGAAGAACTTGAAATTGGCAGTGTTCCCATGTATCTGCTGCCCTTGTCCTTCTGGCTGGAAGAGGCCATGGGTTCAGAAGGTGCTGTCTAAGGAGCAGTGGGGAGTTGTTACAATGCATCTTGTAGGAGGTATACACTGCTGCTACTCATGTCGATGACGGAGGGAGTGAATGTTGAAGGTGGTCAATGGGCTATCAATGAAACAGGCTGCTTTGAGCAGATGGTAACAAGGTGTAGAGCTGGATGAACACAGCAGGCCAGGCAGCATCATAGGAGCAGGAAAGCTGATGTTTTGGGTCTGGACCCTTCTTCTGAAGAAGGGTCCAAACCCGAAACGTCAGCTTTCCTGATGCTGCCTGGCCTGCTGTGTTCATCCAGCTCTACACCTTGTTATTTCAGACTCCAGCATTGGCAGTTCCTACTATCTTTGATCAGTGTTTGACTACACGCATCCAGGGAAGAATATTCCATCACAGGACTTTGCAGGGTTGACAGGATTGTGTGCGCTGTTATTGGTCCAATATCTTGGCCAAATGTGGCTAGTCCACCTTAAGCCAGATTTTGCAGTGGTTAATGGCTTACTTGGCCATTTCAGAGGGAATTTAAAAGTCAACCCTTTTGCCTGTGGTTCTGGGACCAAATTTTCCTTCCCTGAGGGATATTTGTGAACAGTTAGGGACTGAGGGAGCTGTTCTGCTGGGGTGGGCTTGATTTGAACCGTGCTGGGACAGAGTCCCGGTGAATTGTACAACTAGGACTGTTGAACAGGGTGGAAGGATGGTGGTGGATGTTTGAATTAAAATTGAAAAGGAACAAGAAAGCAGAGGTGCAGGATAGTGAAGAGGGCAACGATAAAGTGTGACGTGGGAGCAGAAAATAGAAGCAGAAGGGTGGAGCAGAAATTAGAACAGAATAAATAATAATGGTGAAAAGTCAAAGGTTTAAGGCTCTATGACTGAATGTATGATAATTGATCATAGAAAAAGAAATAATTGAATATGACTTGACACTCATTCTAAAGACATGGCTGCAGGGTAACTAAGACAGTGAACTCAATATTCAAGCTTAGACGATGTTCTGGAAAAACAGGCAGAAAGGAGAAGGTGGTGGGGTAGCTTTGTTAATAAATGAGCTGTGGGGAGTGATGGTTAAGGTGCAATAGATCCTGGTATAGAATCAGGTGCAAATAAGGAATTGTAAGGGAAAGGAGCTAGAGTGAAATTATGAATGTGTGTAAGGAGGGTATTAAAATTGTTATGGGGGATTTTAATTTGCATACATTATGGAGAAATCAGATAGGTAAGTGTATCATGGAAGCCAAATTTGTTAAGAGACCATCAGGGATTGTTTCTTATAGCAATACTTTGCACTATTTACCCAGGAGGCTGGAGCAGAGTGGGACGGCCAGCGGTCAGTGGATGGGAGCCTGGGTGGTCAGTCTGCTGCACATGGTTGTCAATAGCATGCGAGCAAGGTTGGGGTCAGCCCAAAGCAGGGGAGCACGACAACAGATGTGGAAAGCCCCCAGCGTGGAGCGACTGCAGGTTATAGACAGACTGTAATGTTCATCTTTTAACTTTATTTCTTTATTCTCCTAATTTATACTAAGAAGAACTGTAATGTAGAACTTCCAGCTTCTTCAGAGATAGCAAGAACTGCAGATGCTGGAGTCAGAGACAACACAGTGTGGAGCTGGAGGAGCACCGTGGGTCAGGCAGCATCAGGGGAGCAGGAAAGTTGACATTTCGGGTTGGGGCCCTTCTTCAGAAATTGGGAAGGGTGAGGGAGCTCAGAAATAAATAGAGAGAGGAGGGGTGGGGCTGAGGGCCTAACCATCTCCCACCTATCTGCCCGTCCAACCTCACTAACCAATCCCCACCACTCCCTACCTGCACTCACCTATCTCCATCCCACCTACCTTCCCCAGCCCAACCCCTCCTCTCTATTTATTTCTGAGCTCCCTCCCCATTCCCCATTTCTGAAGAAGGGTCCCGACCCGAAATGTCAGCTTTCCTGCTCCTCTGATGTTGCCTGACCTGCTGTGTTCCTCCAGCTCCACACTTTTAGCTTCTTTCTTTATTTCTGTGTTTTTGTACCTAATCTATTTTAGTACCTAAGATTTGTACCTAGGTTCTTTTTACCTAAGATGATGCCATGTGGGCAACATTGTACACTTTTCACTGTACTCCTGTATCCCTGTACCTGAGTACATATGACATAAAACCTAATTCTAATTTTCAATCCAGTAATATGTATTAATAAGATATCTCATGGTTAAGGATCCTCTCGGGATTAGTGATCACAACATGGCAGAACTTCAAATTCAGTTTGAGGGAGAGTACCTCGAGTCTGAAACCAATGTCCTCAACTTAAATAAAAGCACTTACAGAAGAATGAAGAAGGAGTTATCAAAGTGGGTTGGGAAAACGGACTAAGAGGAAAGTCAGTGGATGATAAATGGCAGACATTTCAGCAAGTATTTCATAATGGTCAGCAAAAAGTTATTCTGATCAGAAAGTAGGTCTCAATGAGAAGGATGAGCCACCCATGGTTAACCAAGAGCGTTAAAGGGAGTATTCAATCATAACCTAAGGCATAGAAAGTAGTGCAAACTAATGTTAAACCAGAGGATTTAGAATTAGTTTTGGAACCAGGAGTGGATGACTAAAGTCTAATAAAGAGGGGAAAAAATGATCATGAAAGTAAATCGACAAGAACTTTTGCAGGTATCTGAAAAGAAAGTAGTGAAATTGTGGGAGCCTTACAGGATGCAACTGAGGAACTGATAATGGGAAACAGGAAAATGGCAGATAATTTAAACCAATATTTTTGATCGGTCTTCACAGTAGGGGATACTACTAATCTTGCAAAGATAACAGATGGCAGATGAGGTACTAATGGGAGGTAAATGCGTTGTAACAGTTTCTGACATGATGGACAAAGTGTTTGACAAACCATTGAGACTGAAGACAGACAAGTCATGAGGATCCAATGACCTGCATCCAAGGATTTTAATGGAAGTGGCTGCAGAGATAGTGGAGGTATTGATCAAAATATTCCAGAACTCACTGGATTCTGGGAGGATTTCAGCAGATTGGAAAGCTGCTCGTGACACCCCTGTTCAAGGACGGAGGGAGACTAAAAGCAGGAAACTATAGGTCAGTTCCTTTATCCATTAACAGGACGAGGGCATCGCTGGCTAGGCAGCATTTATTGCCCACCCCTAATTGCCCAGAGGGCAGCTGAGAGTCAACCACATTGCTGTGGGTCTGGAGTCACATGTAGGCTAGACCAGGTAAGGGTGGCAGTTTCCCTCCCTTAAGGGCATTAGTGAACCAGATGGGTTCTTCTAACAATCAACAATGGATTCATGGTCATCATTAGATTCTTAATTCCAGATATTTTATTGAATTCAAATTCCACCATCTGCCGTGGCAGGATTTGAACATGGATCCACAGAATGTCTTTGGATTAACAATCTAGCGATAATACCACTAGGCCATCGCCTCCCCATGAGCCTTATATCTATTGTTGGAAAAATGTCAGAATCTATTAAAAAGGAAGAAGTAGCAGAACATTTAGAAAAGGTTTATGCAATCAGAGTCAATATTGTTCTGGGAAAGGGAAATGATGTTTGATTAATTTGCTTGTTTTGAGGATGTAATAAGGACAATTGATAAAGCAGAAGTGGCAGATGTAGTCTATTTGGATTTCCAGAAGGCATTGGATAAAGTATCAGATAAAAGGTTATTACACAAGATGGGAGATCCCAGCTCTGGAGTAATGTATTAGCATGGATTGAGGATGGTTAACACACAAGTCACGGAGTCAGGATTAATGGGTCTTTTTCAGTTTGGAAAGATGTAACTTGTGGATCAGTCCTGGGATCTCAATTATTTACTATCCATATTAATAACTTGGAAGAAAGAGCAGAGTGTAATGTTTCTAATTTTAACGATTGTACAAAAATAGCTGGGTGGGCATGTTACGATGAGGACATAAGGGGGCAGGTTGAATGAATGGGTAAAACGTTGGCAGATGGAGTTCAATGTAGGAAGGTGAGAGGTCATGCATTTCAGTAGGATGAGTCAAAAGGCAAACTATGATTTAAATGGAGAGAGACTCAAAAAGTTCCAACACAAAAGGATCTGGGTGTTCTTGTGCATAAAACTCAAAAAAGTGAGCATACAAGTTCAGCAAGTAATTAGGAAGGCAAATGGAATTTTGGCTTTTATTGCTAGTGGTTCAGAGTTTGATTTCACTGGTGAGGCTTCATTTGCAATACTGTGTAGTTTTGCTTCCTGTATTTAAGAAAGGATGGCTAGCACTGGAAGCAGATTGGGTTGCGAACTGGTTCTGTTCTTGAGTCTGTTTGCAAGTTGATTTGTACGCAAGTTGCAACACAATGCAGGACAATATAAAACAGCTGCTTGTAAGTAGAGAAACTTTGAAATTACACCCCTGTACAGATCACAATTGTAAGTCAGATGTTTGTAAATCTGAGAACCTTGTACAAGATTCTGAGAGGACTGACAGGGTAGATGTTGAGAAGATTTCTTTAAATAGTTTCACTACTGGAAGCAGGCCATTTGGCCCATCAAGTCCACACCAACCATCCAAAGAACATCCCACCCAGACCCAACACTCTACCCTATATTTCCCATAGCTAAAGCAGTCAGCATGCACACTATGGACAATGTAGCATGGCCAGTCCACCTAACCTACACATCTTTGGACTGTGGAAGGAAACTAACACAGATGCAGAGAGAATGTGCAAACTCCACACAGACAGTTTCCTGAGGCTGGAACTGAACCTAGGTCTCTGGGTACTGTGAGGCAGCAGTGCCATCCACTGAGCCACCATGTGTCCATTGTGGGAGAATCTGAAATTAGGTGACATAGTTACAGAATAGTTACACTTATTTAAAACTGAGATGCAGAGGAACTTATTCCCAAGAGGGTAGTGAACGTCTGTAATTCTCCACCCCACATAGGTGTGGAGGCTAGATCACTGTCAGTATCTAAAGAGGATATGGATACAGTTTTGAAATATTGAGGAGTTGAGAGCTCTGGAGAGCTGGCAGGAAAAAGGCTTGAAGTCTGAGAAAAACAGCCATAATCTCTATAGAATGATGGGTGAGCTTTGAGGGGCTGAATGGCCTATTTTGCTCCTATTTTTTACGCCCCTGTGTTCCGATGTCCGCTGTGTGTTAGCCATAAACAGCTAAATTACTTTAAAAAGGGCAAAATACTGCGGACGCTGAAAATCTGAAACAAATATAGAGAACGCTGGAGAAACTCAAAGGTCTGGCAGGATCTGTGGAGACAGGAACTGAGTTAACCGTTCAAGTCCAGTGTAACTCTCACTTCGAACTGCCTCAATTACTTAAGTCAACTTTGACCTAAGCCACCTGCTAGTTGCGTACATGGGGCCACAGAATAATATGTACATTGGAACAAGAAGACAGACAGAAAACAAAGCAGTTGCATTAATACAGCCCTTTATCAAATCTCTGCAAAACGTCTCACAGTACTTGATATTGAATGAAAGATTGTGAAGTGCTTTGAGAGAAAGCTAGTGGCAAAACTATTAGCTTTAGTTTTAAAATATTCCAATAAATTAAATACAAATCTGTGGTGGACTCATCAACTGCAAATTCGTATGTTAATGTAAACTTTAGTTGCAAGATATATATGACGATTTACAATACAACACAGGAACTTGAAACTGCGAGAGTTAAAATAAGAGTTAAGGTGAGATTATTGCCAGGATCCAGTTCACCCTAATGCTGCAACCGAGACTTAGGATATGATGGGGTAGATACCTGGAATTAGGTTAGGGTTAGTTCTCATGTTCTTCTGCTAGCAGAGCCGAAAGGGTTGTATTTGGGTTAAACTATTCAAACTAGTTTACAGAGAACCATACAGGAGATGAGTCAGATCAAATTAGCTAACAGGGTCATGAAAAGCTGTCGGGTAAGTGAAATATGTACATAGTGACTTGAAATCTCTGCTTCGGCAGAATTCCAGTCCTTTGAAGTCATTGGCTGGAGCGCCGACTCCCTGACCTCAGCTACTTTCTGGTTTCAGATTGTTTTGTATCATTTTCAGTTGAGCTTCCTGACCTCCCTATGACACCCCATCCGGGAGCAACCGGAGAGAGGAGCAACCTTGTGTTGACTTATGCCAGGCAACATGATATGAAGAGATAACAAGGTGTGGAGCTGGATTTTTTTTTTGAAGACAGCTTTCCTGCTCCTCTGATGCTGCCTGGCCTGCTGTGTTCATCCAGCTCCACACCTTGTTATCTCAGACTCCAGCATCGGCAGTTCCTACTACCTCCTCATGATATGAAGACCAGCCATTATTGAGAAAATACTAGCTAGAAACAGGAGCGTAGCTGTGAGAATGTTGATTCCAGCTCCTGTGTAAACACCTGCTAATAACAAAGCCTCTCCAGCAACACTTCCCAATTATTTTCTCAATCTGACCCCATATTGAGCCTTGAAGGTTGTTGTGACTGCTCAATGGGAGCAGCAGGGGTTGGGTCTGTAAGAGCAGGAACCTGTTAGAATTGCTATCGTTCGGGCGGGCCTCCATATAAAATCAAAATACTGCAAATGCTGGAAGTCTGAAATAAACATAGAAAATGCTGGGGAAACTCAGCAGCTTTAGCAACTTCTGTGGAGAAAGAAACAGAGTTAATGTTTCAATTCCAATGTGATTTTTTCAAAACAGTCCTGAAGAGGAGACATTGGAGTTGAAACATTAACTCTGTTCGGAACATACCAAGTACAGATGTTAATAGAAGGGTATCACAGTACGGGGGGAGTTTAACAGCTTTGACTTAGTGAGAAGGTGCAAGCAGCCTTGGGGACAGTTTATGCATAGACACCCAGAGCCCACAGATACTCCAGACTAGTGTCTCAATGGGTAATTAGTAGTATTGGCTTAAAGCACTTACCTTGTTGATACTGACATTACTCTCTTTGGCAACATGCCGCTTACCATTGACAAATTAATATAAATGTTTGTGCATTTTGCAGGCTGCAATCCAGTGGACTATGAGTGCTCACGTGTACACAAGGTAAAAATGCAATCATATAAAGAATCCTCATGCAGCATTCCATGGGTCCCTTGAAGTGATCCCATGGCACTGTTTTGAAAATGACCATTGGGTTTGTTCTTGGGGTCCTGGTCAATATTTATCCTTCAATCAACATTGCTGTAGCAAATAACCTGACAGGCCCGAAACGTCAGCCTTCCTGCTCCTATGATGCTGCTTGGCCTGCTGTGTTCGTCCAGCCCTGCACCTTGTTGTCTCATGATCATCTTGCTGTTAGTTGGGGCTTGCTGCGTATAAATTGGCTGTCATTTTTCTAACATTATAACAGCAGCTACACTCCATTAACAGTAACTCACTTTGATATAATTCTGAGATCATGAAGTAGGATGCAAGCCTTTCTCTTTGATTTTAAGAACTCATTTCAAAGCTGATTATCCATTGCTGTGTGGCTATGTGCAGTCAGTACCATGGTGATGTCACTGGACTAGCCATCCAGAACTCCATGGTAATGTTCTGCGGAACCCCCACCATGTCAAATGGTAACATTTGAATTCAATAAAGATCTGGATTAATTAAAAGACTAGCTAGTATAATGATGTCCGTGTTAATGACCTTCAATTGTCATGAAAAATCCCACCTTGCTCACCAATATCTTTTAGAGAAGACAATCTGCCTTCCTTACGCAGTCTGGCTGATATGTGACCCCGAAGCAGAGGTAACATGGTTGACTTTTAACTGCCTTTGGGGCATTTTTGGGCTCAACAGTAAATGCTGGCCTAATCAGAGACCCCGTCACTCAATAAATGAAAGATAAATTGTTGTTTTATTTCATAATCAACACAGCCTGGATTTCTTTTTTTAAAAAGGGGACGAGATGTTTGGTTCGTTTTGGTAACATTAGAGATGTTGGTGACATGGATTTTAAGTGTACTGGACAACACTGTGACTGGCAAACAATACAGATTGTGAAATACAAGACAATGTGAGATACACTGAGCATGCCGATTAAATACCATTGTATTATAACAAAGACCATGGTGTTTAGTGTTTAGCTAAAGATCCATGGTGGGTACTGCTTTGTTTGCTTTTGTTGGGGGAAATTACAATTGTTTCAGCATTCACTTGCAAGTTACTCTTTAGAAACTATTAATATTTGCTCTGCAGTTCTAGAAAAATACATAGTTTTGAATGTCCATTGCTGAAATATTCAGAGATCATGGGCAAAATGGTGTTACAAACAAACATAGAAAAATAAATTTCCACCTCTCTCCAAAGAATAAATGAGAAAAAAACACAGAAAGCTGAATTGAACACAAAAAGGAACTTTACAACTTTCTGAGACAACAAGGTGCAGAGCTGGATGAACACAGCAGGCTAAGCAGCATCATAGGAGCAGAT